CAGCAGCTGCCCATAATCCTGGTGGATGCGTCGTCGTTCATTGTGCAGAATGTTGAATCGTCTATCTGCTCAGCCAAGTCTGTTCCCCTACGGTCGTTTGACAGGCTTGAGTGCCAAAGATAGTGGCGCGCATTGAAGTCACCTACTATCACACGGTTTTCACCTCTGAGGAGCGCACCTATGTCAGGGTGATATCCTGCCGGGCAGCAAGTGACAGGGGCTCAACATCGCCTGACCGGATAGCAACGATCTGACATTCTAGGGTGGTATCCCTGCGGTTAATGTCTGCTTCAATAAGACGACACTGCACGATGTGGTGCGTGATGAACGCTAAGCCTCCACCATTATCTCGCTCGCGATCTCGACGGTACACGTTGTACCCGGCACAATTCAACAATGTTGAATTGCTGTCCAACTTCGTCTCTTGGACCGCAGCTATCAATATACCATGCCTTCCCATGAAGACGGTTATCTCCTCGATCTTGCTCTGAAGTCCGTTACAGTTGAAGGAGCTTGATGTGGTTCGGGAGACGTGTAGTTATGCGGGGTGTGAGGGATGTGTGTGGCCTTGCCGCCATTGGCTGTGTGCGCTGCTGTCGAGGTTGCCACCCTGTGACGGTAGTGGGTGGCGTCGCAGTTGGGGTTTGCGACCGAACAGCGCAACACGGGCCCTCGAAGTTCCTCGTCCAATCTCGCGGGGTGCGCAGACCTGAACATGCCCTAAAGTGGCACCAGCCAAGGCAGGTGGTGCACTGGACTGATGTCACATTACGGAATGTCCTGGTCTGACATACCGTGCAGAATGTAGGAGGAACCAGGAGTTGTTGGCGGTGGCGTGTTTGTGGTGTGCGGTTCTGTTTGCTATGTGGTCTGTCGTGGTTGTGGTGTGGTCTGTCGTGGTTGTGGTGTGGTCTATTGTGTTGTTGTGTCGTGGTGTCTGTGAGCTGCTCAGGTGGACTGGGATTAGCCGTGGAGGCTGCTCTGTTTGATGTGCTCCACTGCCGATGTGTCCGTAGTCCTGAGCACATTCTGAGGTGACTCCACCCCCGCAAGCATTGCACTTGACTGAGGTGGAGTTGTAGTGTAGTCTTCTCTGGCATACACAGCAGGTGTCCTGAAAAAAGTTCCGCAAAATTTTGGGGGGAAAAAAACAAACAAAAAATTTTTACACTAAATTTAATTTTTTATTTTTAATTACTTTTTAATCAGAGTTCCTGACAGCAGGCAATAGTTCCACAGTTCCCTAACCAAATTTTCAATAGTCTTGTTAATTTAACCCAAAAAAGCTAAAAAACAAAAATCGCTTGCTAACCTCACGTGCAAGCCTTTATTCAGCAAAAACAGTTCTGATACGACCAACTTACAAGAAATAAAGAGTTCTACAGTTCCCTAATAGTCCCGAAAAAAGTTCCGCGAAATCCAGAAAAAAAAACAAAAAAATTACATACATTTTTTTTTTTTTTGTAATTACTTTTTAATCAGAGTTCCTACAAAACTACATATCAAAATCTTTCTAAGGGCCGTCTTCTTAAGTAGTTCTAAAAATTTATCTGCCCTTTAAAAACAAATTTTGTTCTCAAAAAATATGTTCGAAGGGCAGATAAATTCTAAAATTCTAAATTTTTGTAATATTGCTCAATGGTTGAACCTTTGATTTATATTGTTTTTGTTAAAGAACGGACTATATTTTTATAAAAAAATAACTAAAATTAAATAAAGAAAAAATTGTGAAAACTTCTTAATATGTGGGGTGGCGGTAATTTTTTCGACCACTGTATTATAATGTACGTATCGTCGCCTGGGTAAAAGATTGCCGTATGTTAATTTCGGCAGGTTGTGGGAAATCGCGATTGAAGTTTGGAATGCAATTTCTCAAAAACGCGAGGATAGAATTTCTCCAGTCTCTGAAAATGTTACTAGTTCACAAAATTCTTAAATTATTTAATTTTTAATGTTTATTGTTAATTAGTTTTGAGTTTATGAAGGATTTTCTTTAGTAAAATTATGTCGTAATCGTCATTTGTTCACAATTTGGCAGCCACATTGTATGAAATACGACAAAATGTGATCAAAATTTCGACTAAATTAACAACACTTTATACGCAATATCTCGTAAACTAAAGGAGATATGGCTGCATCACTAACTAAATTTTTACTAAATCATCGAAAAAATTGTGGTCAATATCTCGGAAACTAAAGGAGATACCTAAAAACAAATAACACCAATCGAAAGACCTTATTTCAAAATATATTACTGCATCTATAACTAAAAATCGTCAAAACTGCGCTTACGACAATCTTTTACCCAGGCGACGGTATGCCAATGCCATCCTATAGGTAGGTAGGTATATTTTAGCAAAGGGCACATCAATACCTATTGAACGGTAGGCTGCTTGTGGCGATTAAATAATTTTTGATCACCTGATTGGCTTATTGTATTGGCTATAGGATGGCATTGCCATACGTACATTATAATACAGTGGTCGAAAAAATTACACCCACCTCACATATTGAGAAGTTTTCACAATCTTTTCTTTATTTCATTTTAGTTATTTTTTATAAAAATATAGTCAATTCTTTAACAAAAACAATATAAATCAAAGGTTCACCCATTGAGCAATATTAAAAAAAAAATGAAGCAAACTGGTAGAAATTACGAGCAAGTACCTTTTAGAATTTATCTGCCCTTGGAACACGTTTTTTGAGAAAAAAATTTGTTTTTAAAGGGCAGATATATTTTTAGAACTACTTGAGAAAACGGCCCTTAGAAAGATTTTGCGTATGCAGTTTTGTAGGAAGTCTGATTAAAAAGTAATTACATAAAAAAAAGGGTATGTAACAATTTATTTTTGTTTTTTTTTCTGGATTTTGCGGAGCTTTTTTCGGGGCTATTAGGGAACTGTAGAACTCTTTATTTCTTGTAATTTGGTCGTATCAGAACTGTTTTTGCTGAATAAAGGCTGCGCGTGAAGTTAGCAAGCGATTTTTGTTTTTTATCTTTATTGGGTAAAATTAACGAAACTATTGAAAATTTGGTTAGGGAACTGTAGAACTATTGCCTTGCTGCCAGGAACTCTGACAAAAAAGTAATTAAAAAAAATAAAAAATAAAAAAAATTTAGTGTAAAATTTTTTTTTGTTTTTTTTCAAAATTTCGGTGGACTTTTTTCTGGCCTATTAGGCGTAAGTTGATGGCATCAGAACTGTTTTTGCTGAAAAAAGGCTTGCTGCTTGAAGTTAGCAAGAGACTTTTGTTTTTTTAGCTTTTTTGGCTTTAATTAACAGAACTATTGAAATTTTGATTATGGAACTGTAGAACTACTGCCTTGCTCTCAGGAACTCTGATTAAAAAGTAACTTTAACAAAAAACGCTTGCGAACTTTACACGAGCGGGTTAGATCGCCGAAACAACAGCCCTTCGTCGAGTACAACCCGAGTCATTCCGGTACGTAGAACCGGCTGTCGTGGGAATGGTCAATTTTCGCTGGGCCAGCTGCGCTGACGTCCCTAATTCCCTATTCGGTGGTGTGCGAACAATCGCATTCGAGCGGTTAATCAAATAAATACTCGACTATCAACCGTTGCTAATCGGCTATGAGATTAACCGAGTAGGATGTTCCATTTTTAACAAGAGCTTTGCGATGACGAGCTCAAAAACGCGTTTTTATTTTATCGATTTCACTGGAGAATATTTTGAAAAATAATAAGATCACTTTTACTGAAAATTTTGTTTTCATCTAAAGATATTTAGTGCCCCTCGTAATATTATAAAACGAGTATGTTTGTAAGTACACTGGTTAAAAATTATGTAAAATAAGAGGAAATAAAACAAAAGAAAATCAAAACAATAAAATAAAATTTAAGAGATTAACAGCCAATTTCACGAAAGCGATTTAAGTGAAAAATGATTTTAATATTTTGAACTTTATATGGAAATTGACGGAATATAAGAAATCATTTTGCAGTTAAACTGCTGGCGAAATCGGCTATAAGTAAGTTAAGTTAAAATGAAGTTAATTTTTAAATTTTAAGTATGAAATATGAATAAATATTAAAATTAAAATTTTATATAAGATTTTATGCGTAAGCACACAAAAACCTTATGCACCAACACCAAGCCACATTAACACCAACATATGTATAATTTAATTTTTCTAAGCAACCACAAATTAATGGAATCAGAAATAATACTAGAACTGTTGTATAAAAACTTAATTTTCACGTAGCAATATTTTATCGAAAACCCGTTTATCCATGAACACATCGCACATTTGATAATATCCAAAATTATTTCAAACTTTGAATTTTGTGGAAAAACGCAATCAAAGTTCGATCAATTCACAGTTGGTATACCAAAATATAGATGGAAAGACACATACATTCTCCATTTTGGGGAAGCTAAATCGTCTGTTAAGCTGAACATATTCTCCTTATCAAGCTTATTAATTGTATGCTGAAATCACCAAAAACGTAAATTTTGAAGTACATCTGAATATTATTAAACATGCGATATGTACATACATATATACATATACATACATATGTATGTACAAAGTTAGCATTCTCATTTTAAGCTAAAATTTGTTTAAGCAATGTTGCAGATTTGCTGATGGAGAAACACCTACAAAACTATTTATACTGGCATTCTTGAATGTAGTCAATTTTGAAAACAGCGCGTGATTTTACAAAAAGATTTTAAATTCATTTAGATCCTTAAAATACAAATTTCATGTCCTTTAACAATAATAATAAAAGCCAAAACTATTTCAAAATGTTTAAACCAAAACAATAATATCGAACACTTTAAATCGGAAGTTGAAAAATTCGTTTGAACTGAAGATCTTTACGATCAGTACATATGTTAGCATTTCTAATACCTGCGCTTTTTTAATGAATTTTTAAAGCCTATACATTAGTGGAAATAGTAGTTGATCGTCACACGATGTTTAAAGGCACGGACGAAGGGAGCTTAGAATTTCTTTGAAATTTTTACAGTCTTACTTGTCGTCCCATGTCCGTCTGGAGTAGTGATCGTGTGAGTCTGGTGAGATGCGGCAAGCGCTCGTTTCATTAATATCTCGTTGCATTCCTCTGCAGTGAGATGAATCGGCCCGATGGGACTGAAATGCGTTTTAGCGCCAGCTGTTGTTAGAATGGTTTGTGACTTCGTGTCGACGATACCATTAGTCAGAGAATGTGACTGATCTGATTGATCTACAAGTAGGTCTAAATCAAAAGCAAATATTTTGTTTTGTTTTCAAACACTATTAAATATACTCGATTGGTGTGCATGGACTTGGATGCTTACAATTTTTGTCGCAGTTAATACTGAGCACTTGTTGTTGGTCTTGTTTCTTCACCACCGATGGTGTAGTAGTACCTGCAGTTATGACTCTGAAATAAAAGATAAATACCATTGCTATACTATAAATCAATATTAATTTTTAATTTGTTTTTTATTTTTAAGACATATTTTTACAAATTAAATATATTCCATAAGCGAACGCTCGACTTACCGTTGAGCTCCTGGTGCAAACGGTTCATTTACGACAAACATCCGACGAACAACTCCACCTTTCTGTGCTGTCAATCCCCCTTTAACATCTTTTTGCACAGTTAAAGCTCCATCTGTAGACAGTAGATATGGCATCTGCAAACAAATATTATTTTAATATGGATTTAATAGATATAGTAGTAGATTTGATGTGTATATATGTATGTATGTATGTATGTATATATCATTTTCTATAGGTACAAAAGACCCTAAATGTAATTTTTGGGAGTTCGTAACACTAAACTAAACGGATCGGTATGTTGTTAAAAAGAACCCAAAAAATAATATGTAGTTTAATATGACAATGTCAGTGGCTTGGAGCACAGAAATAGCACTAAGAAACTGCCAAAATTAATAAAAAATTAAATTATACTTGTTGTTGTTGTTGTTGTTGTAGCGGCTACTAAACCCCGTTTGGGACGGTTCATCCATCATCGTTGACGTCTATTTCAGCTAAGAGGAGGCCCAGGAAGTGTGCGACTTCCACAGGGGCTGTCCATAGGGACAGGGGCGTTAGCTGAGTGGGATTCTCAGGGCATGTGAAGAGGTGCCGGGAGTCATGTGGCGACTCTCCACATGCCGGGCATTGGTTGGGCACATCCTTGTTGATTCTGCTCAGGTAGCTGTTGAGCCTGCTGCAATAGCCAGAGCGAAGTTGGGCTATTGTTGTGCGGGTCTCCCGAGGCAGACAAAGTTCTGTCCCGTCCACGTCCGGTGGTTGTGTGCCTAGAACGGCATTCACAGGGCGGGAGTCTACATAACTTGAGACTGATTCCCTGTGAATGCCGTTGAGGGCCTGTCGGTAGGTTGTCGGGTCCAGAGGTTGTTTAATATACCTCTGGACTTCGTCTGTCAGTTCGTAAAGATGCCTCCTGACGTGCCGTGGCGAGGGCTCTTCCGCGAGCAGTTGTCCGCTGGGATGGCCACGTCTGTAGCTCCCAGCGAGGAACTGCTTGCAAAGCATTAAGTTATGCTCCTTTACCGGGAGCATCTGGGCCTCGTCATGAAGGTGATGTAGAGGCGTCATCAGGAGGCATCCTGTCGCGGTACGTAATGCCGTGTTAAAATTTAAATTATACTTATACATATCGTCGATGTTTTTGCAAAACCGCCCAACGGCACTCAAATTTTACAGGAGAGCGAAAAAACGGTTTATTCTTTGAAGGCATTGCCTTGATAGGCGGTATTTTCTCTATTTTACAAATCTGTTGTTTAATAACTGGGCGGGGTGATGGGCGGTTTTGCAAAAACATCGACGATATGTATTACTAGTAAAAATATTGTATGGGGGAGAAATCTGTCACGTACGTTATCACATTTTAATTCAAAGTTAAACCAATAACGAATTGCTTCTGATTAAAAATGAATTGGTTGGACGAATGTCAGGTCTCACATCATGGAAACATCCATATAGGATATATTTTACAATACGAAAAAATCTCACTTCAAAATTAAGTGTTTTGGATAAATTTGTCTTTCAGTGCACAAAGATAAAATATGGTTATGGTTTCTTACCAGTCACATTCATGAAAATAATAGTTACATAGAACTATGAAATCGAATCGTTTGGTATTTTATTGAAACGAATTTTATACACTAGTTATTTATCTATGTTAAAAAATATCTTTCACTGTTGTATAAGTTCCGAAGACAGTTATAATTCACAATTGTTCACTTTCTGTAGTAAAAGGTCCCACCAGTCCCAATGCAATGACACTATAGTATTTCTGCAAAAATTGAAAACATATGTCGCTTAATTTTCACCATGTCAAATTCAATGGCATTTGTACTCAAATAAGTGAAAGCACACTGTCAAATGGGATTAAAAACCGGTATTTCGATCTTTAGTCGTGTACATACGCTAAAGGTATGGATAAAGGAGATAAAATTGTGTCAAAATATGTCGGTGCTTTATCCAAAACTTAAGATGCGATTAAACGTGGCAATGCAAGCGCCTTTTCTACGCATTTTGCTATCATAAACAAACAGAGTCCTTTTGCAAATTTGCAGAAATCAGTTTCGAAAATAAAAATTGCAAGGCGTAATTGCAACAGAAATTAGGCAAATCACTTTCGAGAAATAAATTCAACTTGCTCGTGCTGGACTAGCAATTTTAATTTTTGTTGCAAGTGCTGTCAAACCAATCGAGTGTTGCCGTTCAATGCGTTTTTTGGCGAATTTGTATAAATATTATAAAAATGTTGAATAAAATATGAAAAATACGTGTAATTAATTTATTCTACTGATATGGAGTATTTAAATACTAATGCATTAGACATTTTGTGCCTGTTTTGTGCACATTTTAGCAGGTTTGGTATATTTTTCAGGTCATTAATTTTGTTATAAGCATAAAAATGTCTGGTAACATAGTTCAAAGTGGAGTGGTCTGCATTCACCATGTAAACAGACAAAAATTAGTATCGGGAAAGTTTGATTTTCAGAAATAAAAATTGCTTTCGAAAGCCACTCTACATGCAAGGTGTACTGCTCCTGCAATCTCTTTTGAAAATTCTTGAGTTTGACAGACTTGAAAAGGACTTGCATTTGCCGCGTCTAACAGCTACTTTACTCGTGTAAGTTGTCTTGCTCATGGCCTCAATAAAGTATGTGAAAAAATTCCCGAAAGCAATCAACAAGTAGACCAACTAATTGTCAGTATCTGTATCAAAAAAGTGTTTATGATGGCGCCATCACGCGTGGGTCTTTACCTGGAGGTACATACCTGGAAGCAGTTAGCTACTATGTATCTCAGATTGTTGGAGCCAGTGGAATCAAAAATTATTAAAATATCCAAAGAGTTATTGGATGACGAGAACCTTCGTCAACCGCTTATTTTTATTTCGTGCAATTCTGGTTATCTAATTACGTCTATTTAGACATAGGAATCATTCGCTTTATCACTTGCGACTCAAATACAGGGTATATCGGAAGTCAAACAGTTGCTTCAACAAAGTGCATATACAGCAGTGATAGAGAAACTTAAATCGGTCGCAACGGAAAACAAAATAAAAGAAAGTGCTGAAAAAATTTCAGAAAAAACTATTACAGCTGGTGGCAATTTGAAATATAGCATTAAAGAAACGTGTGCTTTTAAATACGCTCCGATTATGTCCGTTGAAGTGGAAAGAACTTTCTCTATGTTTGGCAGTATTTATCGTGGCATCAGGCGTAGTGTTCTGTTTGAAAATTTGGCTTATTATTTATTTGCTGCAACAATCATTTTAATTAGAGTAATTTTTTTACTGTGACACTTTTAAACAACCTCGCCTTTTTTATTTTAAGTCATATACTTTAAATAGACTTTTATCTGCTATTGCAGAGCTTCTTAAAGTAGGTTCCGCGTAACCCAAGGGTTCCGTAGAAAAGTCACCGGGGTTCCGCGAAATTAATTTTGGTATGAATAAGCACGGCGGTCGGTTTGGGTTGCACACAGAAATAAAAGTTCTATAAACAGCTTGACCGAGACGCAATTATCTATTTACAAGTATACATACATATGTACTGATAGTATGATTGCCGTACTGAGTGCCATACGTTACATAAGAGCGTTGAGCTTGCGCTTGACAGCTTGTTTTTTCTCACTGGTATGTGTTGTTGGCCGCTGTAACCAAAGGGTTATATACAACGTTCTACAAAGAACTCGATGAATTGCCAAATGAAATGTGAAATGTCATAACTGGGCACTTGGTAAATCACCTGAAATCTTCGTCAGATTATTTTTCGGATGGTAGTAGTAATATCGGTTTGGTACAAAATCCATTTACGAAGCATTCATAGACCTTCAGAATACTTCGACATTGAAACACACATTTGAATCTGTGTCTCTGAAAGAGTTTTGGGTTAGTGTTAAAAGTAAATGTCATGAAGTCGCTAAAAATACCATCTTAACTTTGCTTCCTTCTTTTACAACGTACTCTGTCAACAGGGGTTTCAGCTTACACTTAATACACAAAAAACAAATATTGTTCGAAATTAGATGCTACCCCAGAAATGTGCATACAGCTTTCAGACATTATATCGAACTATTTATATAATACCTATTTAACAACAGTGAAACAATTTCATTCTTTACATTAAAATTTAAAGTATGTATACTAGGGTGCCCATAGAAAATGCATTTTTTAAAATTTCAAGACCCTACCCCCTAATTTTATTCGTTTTTATGAGAAATATTATTGCCTACTTTTATAGATTTTGTAAAGGTCATTTAGAGGTCGCGACCTGTCGATTTAGGTCAGAAAATAGGATTTTGTAGCTTTATGGGTTTTTGAATGACTGTTTTTTATTCGATTTTAAAGATCGAATATGATCTGGCAAGAGGATATATAGGCTTTTAAAATGGTATATAATAATCTGTTGTCGGACTTGGCTTGTTGGGATTTTTTATCGGGTAAAATAAAAAAAAACATGTCTTAATTTTTTAAATTTTGCCCATCGATAATTGCTACAATTTCAAAAATTTCTAAAATTAAATCTATTTTTAAATAAACTGATTGCTCATTTATGGCAATCGCATAAAAATTGTCGAAGTAAGGCGACTTTTCTTAAATATGACCTTGAATTTATATTGTTTATGTACCGGACTTTCATACTTTTTGAGCAGAGTGGCTAAGGGATTCATCAATATTTATTCAAAATTGATATATACATTCGCTTTTTAGCAAAAAAATTGGTTTTTCCAAAAAATTTTGGAAAATGGGGGTGGCACCGCCCACTTATATCATATACATATGTATGTGTATCTCCAAAACTACTTGACCAATCTCGACCAAATTTTATATACACATTGCGCTTAGCCTCCTTAACTTCCGGCTTGAATGTTTTGAAATCGGACAAAACCCACTCCTCCTAAAGTATAGCTAGCTTTGACTTTTTTGAAACTACCGTTACGTTGGTGGAGCCCGTGGTTTTTGTCCGAGTTTAAAAATTGGCGCTTAAGAAGCCTAATCGCAATGTGTGTACCAAATTTGGTCGCGATCGATCAATTAGTTTTTGAAATACACATATATGATATAAGTGGGCGGTGCCACCCCCATTTACCAAAAATTTTTGGAAAACCCAATTTTTTGCTAATGAGCGATTGCATATATCAATTT